AACTTTACTAAGAACCCCCAAACAGTACATTTCTACTCTCAAACTCCTCTCTCCAGAATCTACTGATGAAATTGAGACGGTTATATTTGTCCTGAACATTTACAATAGTTGTTCTTGAGTGACAGAAAGAGTATAAGAGACAGTCAGTGGATTCAAGCCACAATGTGGGGGGTGTTAGAATGTGGGCAATGAGGTAGAGAATAAGAGGAAAGGTCTTAAGTACTCGGATTCTAAATGACAATAATTTTGCTATCAGCAATTTTCCCAGAGACAGGTCTCAAGATTAAGCAATTAAACATTCAAAATAACTTCATATGTACCTTTATTTTAAATATAGTAGACTACTTTTTTTTTTTTTTTTGTATCAGGGATTGAACCCAGGGGAACTTAACCACTGAGCCACAACCTGGCCCTTTTTATATTTTATTTAGAGACAGGTTCTTGCTAAGTTGCTGAGGCTGGTTTTGAACTTTTGATCCTCCTGCCTCAGCTTCCCAAGCCACTGGGATTACAGGTGTGCGCTACTGTGCCCAGCATAGACTACTATTTTAATTTTTTATTTGTTCTACTTAGTTGTGCAAGACAGCAGAATGCATTTCAATTCATCCTACACAAATGGAGTGCAACATTTCAATTCTCTGGTTGTACACGGTGTAGAGATGCACCATTAGTGCAATCATACATGTACTAGGTTAATGATGTCCATCTCATCCCACAAGCTTCCTATCCTCATAATGCCTCACCACTCTTCTTTGCCAATCCAGAGTTCCTCCATTCTTCCCATGGCACCCCCCCGCCCATTATAGATCAGCATCCACTAATCAGAGAAAACATTCAGCCTTTAGTTGTTTGAGATTGGCTTATTCGCTTAGCATTATATTCTCCAACTCCATCCATTTACCTGCAAATGCCATGATTTTATTCTCTCTTAATGCCGAGTAATATTCCATTGTGTATATATACGCTGTTTCTTTATCCATTCATCTCTTGAAGGGCATCTAGGTTGCTTCCACAGTTTAACTATTGTGAGGTGAGCTGATATAAACATTGATGTGGCTATGTCACTATAGTATACAGATTTTAAGTCCTCTTTGGGTAGAGACCAAGGAGTGGGATAGCTGGGTCAAACAATGGTTCCATTTCCAGTTTTCTGAGGAATCTCCACATTGCTTTCCAAAGTGGTTGCACCAATTTCCAGTCCCATCAGCAATGTATGAGTGTACCTTTCCCCCCACATCCTCACCAACATTTATTATTGCTTGTATTCTTGACAACTGCCATTCTGACTGAAGTGAGATGAAATCACAGAGTAGTTTTTATTTGTGTTTCTCTGATTGCTAAAGATGTTGAACACTTTTTCATATATTTGTTGATCTCTTGTATATCTCTTACGAGAAGTTAGACTACTATTTTAAAGACAAGTTTTAACAAGTAGAAAAAAAGATTCTGAATTTCATTTTCAACACTTTATACAACTGTGGTTTCAATGAAAAAATTGAAATTTATTTACTTTTGAATAGTGAAATAAAGTAATGACAGTATTTAAATGGAAAAGAACACCAATTTTCCTAAAATATATTTGAATATAATCTTTGGGAAAAATTTAAGAAGCATGAAATAGGCTGTAATTTTTAAAGTGTATTAAATAGAAAAGGATAATAGTAACTGCAAAGAACAATATATTGAATTCTGTTGTAAAAAAGAAACTACATCTGGGGTTGGCTCAGTTGGTAGAGCATTTGCCTTGCATGTGTGAGGCACTGGGTTCGATCCTCAGCATATAAAAACAAATAAATAAAATGAAGGTATTGTGTCTGTCTACAACTAAAAAAAAAAAAAAAGATTAAAAAAAAAGAAAATATAAACCTACACGGTGGTGCGCCGGTTATCCCAGTGATTTGGGAAGCTGAGGCAGGAGGATTGCAAGTTAGAAGCCAGCCTTGGTGATTGAACCCAAAGGCTCTTACCACTGAGCTACATTCCCAGCTGTTTTATTTAATTAATTTGTTGAAACAAGGTCTTCCTAAATTGCTGATGCTGGCCTCAAACTTGTGATCCTGACTCAGCCTCCCGAGTCACTGGGATTACAAGTATGCCTGATCAGCCTTGGCAACTTACTGAGGCCCTTAACAACTTAGTGAGACCCTGTTTCAAAACAAAAAAAATAAAAAGGACTGGAGATATAGATCAGTGATAAAGTGCTCAGTGGGTTCAATGTCCAGGACCAAAAAGAAAAAGAAAGAGCTACAATTATTAAATAATTCTCAGATTTTCTAGTAGTACATTCCTTGGGAATCCTTTGGGAATTTAGAAAGACTATAGAGTACCATTTGGTGTCTTAAAGTAATGATTCAATAAAGTAACACTGCTAAATAGGATTTAACGTTCTAGGACATAGGCTGAATGTGAATGTTTTTGAGGTTCGATGCATTGAAACCAGGGACATTTAACCACTGAGCCACATCTGTAGCTGCTCCCACTGACTTTTTTTTTTTTTTGCCTTAAATCATATCTGAATATAGGAAGAGCAGACATTTTAATGTAATATAAATAATTATGGTTCCACAACTTTTAAATCAGTTACAACTATCTTTACATTTCAAGTTTCTAATGGAACTTCCTTTCAAAGTCTCTTTCCTCAGATACTTCATCTATAGGGACAGAGATCCTATCAGAGATGCCATCTACACTGCCTTTTTTTGGGGTGTGTGTGTGGTTATACCAGCAATTGAACCTAGAGGTGCTTAACCACTGGACCACATCCCCAGCCCTTTTTATTTTTTGAGACAGAGTCTCTCTAAGTTACTTAGGGCCTTGCTTAATTGCCAAGAATGGCTTTGAATTTGTGATCCACCTGCCTCAGCCTCCCAAACTGTGGGGATTTAGGCTTAAGACACCAGGCCTGGCCACACAGTCTTTTCACATTTTCCTAGATTTTTTTTTCTTTTTAACTGTAAACACTTTGTGGTTGTTTTGTTTTGTTTTTCCTAATTATAAAAGCACTTTAGCAATAATCTGAAAGTTTCAAAAGGTAAGCAAAAGAAAGTAAAAATCAAACTATGATGCTTTCACATGAAAATTCTATTTACACATAACATACAGATAAACAGGCTTTTAACTAATTAGGCTCATAATTTACATAGAGGCTAGCAAATTATTTTTCCTCTACTTAACAATATGTAGCCTAACTGGCCAATCAGCAAATTAAGTTTCATTTATATGCAAAGTCAATGCATTGGACTAAATAGAGACCTTCAAAAAAACAATGTCCAAATTATAATCCCTAGTCTGTGACTTTATCTGGAAAAAGGGTCTTTGAAGGTATAATTAAGTTATAGATTTTCAGATGAGATCATTCTGGATTAACTCTATGACGAGCATCCTCATATAAGTAAAAAGAGAGAAAACAGAGGTAAAGGTGGTATGAAGACAAAGATAGAGACTAGAGCTATGCAGCTATGGTCAAGGAATGCCTTGGACTACCAGAGACTGAAAGAAGAAGAAAGGATTCTCTTCTAGTGCCTTCAGAGGGAATATGGCTCTGTGGACATCTTGATTTTAGACTTTTAATCTCCAGAACTGTAAGAAAAAAGAATTTCTGTTGTTTTAAGCCACCAAATTTCTGGCATTTTGTTATTACAGCTCCAGCAAACTATTAACAGTCAGCACTCCAAAGTTTCCTATGAAACTTTGTTCTCCAGCCTTACTTTCTCATTTTTAGCTCTATGCCTTTCCTTTCATTCCCTATATTGCCTCAGGGCCTTTGCACATGGTGTTCCAATGCACCAACTGATCTTCTCCATTCAATTCTCTCTTCAGGGAAAAGTTAAGTGATTTTCTAGCCCTGCTCATCATCATAAGGTTCCCTCTCAATAGCATATAGTTCTTTTCAATAGTCCTTATTGTAGTTGGTATCTTTACCAGTATATCAGATTCTATCATCTTCATGGCTGGCGGAATAGCTCAGTGATAGAATGCTAACAAAAGTAAGCCTCTGGGTTCAGTTCTCCAACACAGCAAAATTAATTGATTTAAAAACAAAAAATTTCTCTACCAGATTGTAAGCTTCATGAAAAGGAACCCTGCCTCCCCTCCCCACCATTATATTCCTAGTCTAGCCTTGTGCCAGCTGTGGCATAACAATCCTTTTTGAATAAATAATCACTTTCCAGAAGCATCACAGACCTTGGGAGCTTCTATCCTACAACAGGGTAATAACTGTGAATTACCTGGTGGCCATCCCATAATAGAAGCAAACAAAAAGGCAAGAGGAAAACTAGAAGGAGATGGGCTACAACATTTTGAAGAATGGGGAGAGTATCATTTAAATCTGTTTAACTGTTACTGCATCAACTGCTTTTTTTTTCTACAGTGTATGCGTTTGTTCCACGTTCCCCTCTCTTCAATGTAATCTCTGAGACTTCCACTGCTAGGTTATTGCTCTATCCCACACCTACAATAGTTCCTGCTGCATAACAGGCTCTCAAACATCTGAATAAATGTTCTCAAAGCTGAATATAACGCCCTAAGAGAATAATGGATCAAAACGCTAAGCGGGGATGGAGGAGCTACCTCCCTCCCTCCCCCTGAAGATACCTCGAAAACCTGAGGGCCCAGAGGCCTAACAATTGCTCAGGTTTGGGCCTGAGAATATTGCAACGAAGGCCCCAGCGGCGGCGACGCTGACTCTCACCTCCACTACCGCCTTCCTCTCTCGGGATCCCCTCCAAGCCCGGGCTCGCCACCGCGGGCCCCCAGACCCCCTCCCTCCTGGCACAGCCCCGTCGCCCCCTCCCCAATCTTCTGGGACTCCGAGGGCCTCAGGCTGTCCCGGCTCCCCTCGGCCCTGGGGACCCCCGCCCCCTACCCGGGATCCCCGGCCCGCGGCCCCCGCCCCGCGCTGTCCCTGCGGACAGGCTCGCGCCGCACAGCGCCCCCTCCGCGCCGGCCTCTGCGGCTGCGCGCTGGCGGGGCCGAGGCCGAGGGGAGGGGGTCGCGCCGGGGGCCGTCGGAGCTGCTGTGGCAGCGGCGGCAGCGAGAGAACGAGCGGGGCCAGTGGCCGCGGGCAGACCGGAGGGAACGTAGGAAGCGGTCATGTCTCGCTACACGAGGCCCCCCAACACCTCCCTGTTCGTCAGGAACGTCGCGGACGCCACCAGGTGAGCGGCGGCGGCCGCAGGTTGGGGACGCGGGGGAGGGGCGGGGTAACGGCCGCGCCGCGGTGCGGGGCAGAGGCCCGGCGGGCGTGCCCGGAGCCTCCTCGCGGGCCCTGCCTGCGCCGGCCGAGCTGCCTGCCAGGCGGCGGCGTGAGCCCCGGGCTACGCGGGGCCTGGGCGGGACTCGCGCCTCCGCCTCCCCGCGGGCGTTCCGCCCTGGCGCGGCGCACTCTCGGCCCGCTGCGTTTTACGCGTCTCCGCACCGCACCCGGCCGTCAGAGCATCGCGGGGGGCCTCCCCGGTAGCCGCGTCCCTCTCCGCCTCTAGCCCACAGTGCTTCCCCCGGCGGGTGCCTGCGTTTCAGCCTCTTTGTCCTGGTATAGCCGCGCGCCCACCCCTCCTAGACGAAGAGGAACTGGGGATGATTGAGAACGTATCGTAAAATAATAATGCGTACCTTGGGCCTTACAATTTCCGTTACCCCAGTTCTGGTCTACATACAGATAGTGCTTATGGCTAAATTATATCCTTTACACAGCTTTACACTAGATACTAAAGATGACTCCAGTGAATGAGATTTACATCTTTTTCATTTAAAGTTCTGAGGATAGTATTAACACCTTTATAACGATTTGGATGAACCTAACTGTTGATGCTCTGAGTCCTCCTCGTTTCCTCCATCCCCCTTTGAGAATTTTTGTCTACATAGTGTCCAGACATAAATCTTAAGAAATGACTTTTCCCTCCCCCCCCCTTTCTGAATGATTTATCATGAGACACTTTTCCCTCTAATAGGAGCCAGAAGGAATTGGGGGGGAGGGCAGGTTAGACAACATAGACATTTCATTGCATTGGACCACCCCCCCATTTTTCTAGTTATGCAATATTATCTTGTGCATAAGGGACAATTGAAACACTTGTAATGACTGACTTGAGGGCTAGACAGCCACAAATATAGAGCGGTCTTGCTTCCTAGTTATCTGGAGTAATAATAATTTACCTGTGAGAAGTAAATGTTAAGTAGTTTTTAAAATTTGTCACAACTATAGACTTTTGATTGAATATATCTTAGTTAACATCTTAAAAGATGTCTGTGTTTACATTTCTCTCCATCTGTTTATTCATACATTACATAGAAAAGCAAATTTTGTGAGGCAAGGTAAAAAGCATTACACATTAAATAGCACACTTAAAACCTGAATAAGTGCTGGGGCAGTTGTGAGGCACTGGGTTCCATCCTCAGCACCACATAGAAATAAATAAAGATTTGGTGTCCATATACAACTAAAAAAAAAAAAAATCCTGAATAAGAATCAAGTCTCTCTAGCATATTTGTAAAACTAACAAACGAAATCAACCGACCAACTAACCAAAGAAACCCCAGAGATTTTCAATTGGAATGACTACAGGAACCAATCAGTTAATATAAATGAGTGAAACCATCAGGTTAAAAGGCACAACAGGATGGTGTAAGCAAATGAAAAAGGACATGTGCCATCTAAAGGGAACAGCATCTGCTACTAAACTCCAGCTGATAGATGCCCTGTAGACATTTGGACTCCTTGTTGTCACATCTAATATTCAAGAGAAATCAGAAATCTAGATTTTGTCAGGCACAATGGAGCAAGCCTGTAATCCCAGCAACTCTGGAGGCTGAGGCAAGAGGATTGCAAATTCAAGGACAGCCTTTTTAAAATAATTTAAGGGCTAGGGAGGCAGCTCAGTGATAAAGAGCTTGCTTAGCATGCATCTGTCCCTGGGTTCAATCCCCAGCACCACAAAGAGGAGAACAAAAAATTCTAAATAAAACACATCTACATGTGACAACTTCTGGTCCAGGTAATCCACCATCAAATATTGAGATTGATATTTGAGATTCACTGATTTCCTTTTTTCATTCTTTCACTGCAATTTAGTACTGCTACTGGGTAGGCAATCACAATCTCGGAGATTATATTGTATTAATGAAATAATAATTGCTAATATTTGTTAAGTATTTGCTGTGTGCTATACTAAAAACTTAATATATTATTAAATTTTTGCATTAATCTTGTAAGTTTTTATGACCACACTTATAGATAAAGTTTAGAGAGATTAAGTATCTTGCCTAAAAGTACATAGCTGGTGAGTTGTGTTAAGACAGTCAAGTCATTACATCTAACCTACAGTAACCTTTTTGTGCAAGTGGTATATAGTGTAAATTAACTAGTATTGTGATACCTGGACATATTTTAAGTTAACTTTATCTTTTCGTATTAGCTATAAATAAAATAATTGGAATGAAATTTTTAAACACGGTGTAAAATTTTATATGCAGTATGATTTCAGTTAAATGAAAAACAAAAGGGAAAACTATAGAAAATACGACTTGAAAAATTCATTTGGGTGGTAAGACTTAGTTGATTTTTCCTATTTTTAAGTATTTTTTCAATTTTCACTTATTAAGAATATTTTAGGGGCTGGGGATGTGGCTCAAGCGGTAGCGCGCTCGTCTGGCATGTGTGCGGCCCGGGTTCGATCCTCAGCACCACATACAAAGATGTTGTGTCCGCCAAATACTAAAAAATAAATATTAAAAATTCTCTCTCTCTCTCCCTCTCTCTCACTATCTCTCACTCTCTCTTTAAAAAAAAAAAAAAAGAATATTTTAGGATTTCTTGTTTGTTTTTGGTACAAGGCATAAAACCCAGAGATATTCTACCACTGAGCCCATTCTTTTTATTTTTTATTTTGAGACAGGGTCTCAGTAAGTTGCCTCAGACCTTGCTAAATGCCTGAAGCTGACTTTGAACTTGTGATCCTCCGGCCTCAAGTTGCTGCAAGTAGCCATTTTAATACAAACTATAAAGCACAGGACATTAAAAGATATTGTGGGTCGTGTATACCTAAAAAGAAAAAAAATATATTGTGGATTAGTGTAAAATTTAATAGGAGTGACACTGAATGCAATAATTGTTAGAGATTTTTAAAATAAGTTTTAAATTTTGAGTTAGGTTTCTTTCAGATGTGAAACAAAATGTGGATCAAGAAAAATACTAACTTTGGTAATATCTTTGTTTATTATGTTGAGGAATAGTTTTTAAATGGTAAATATAATGTCCTAATTAATGTAACGAAGTAATAATATTCAAATCTCAAATGTAGCATTCCCATATTGATGTGTAATATCATATTGGGTTGGGGAGCAACAATCAAGTTGCTCTGGAACTGTTTAATGCATTCTTTGGTTACAGTATAAGAGACTGTATATTTTGATATAGAAAAAGCATTAAAGAAAACATTTATGATAAAAAGGCTAGCAGATTGGAATAAAAGGGGACTTCCTAAGTCTAGCAAATGGTATCTGTGAAAAACCTATAGCTCGGGCTGAGGTTGTGGCTCAGCGGTGGAGCACTCACCTAGCCTAGCATGTGCTATCCTAGCACGTATACCACATAAAAATAAATAAATAAAATAAAGGTATTGTGTCCAACTACAAATATATATATATCTTCACTTAATACTGGAATACTGAATGAACGCTTTACAAATATGTATATATGTGTGTGTGTGTGTGTGTGTATATATATATACACACAATATATACATATTGTGTCCAACTACAAATATATATGTGTGTGTGTATATATATACACATATATATATGTATATATATATCTTCCACTTAATAGTGGAAGACTGAATGAATGCTTTTCCTCTCAGCAGGAACAAGATAAGGGTCCCCACTCTCACTATCTCCATTCAACATTTTATTGCAGGTCCAGTGTTTATTGCAAGAAAAGAAATGAAAACCATAAAAATTGGAAAGGTAGAAGTAAAACCAGTCCCTATTCATAGGTAACATGTTTTTTCTTTTTTTACATAGAAAATACCATAAAATCAACAGTAACTACTATAACTAATAAATAAGTTACCCGAATACAAATTAAACTTATAAAAACTTTATTTCTATATATTAACAACAAGCAGTTGAAAATAGTGAAAAAAAAAAATTCCATTACCCTAGTTTCAAAAAGTATACTCAGTAACCTATGCCTATAATTCCAGCAACTTGGGAGGCTAAGGCAGCCTCTGCAACTTAGTGAGTCCCTAAACAACTTATCAAGGCTCTGTCTCAAGATATAGTCCAAAAAAAAGGATTGGGCATGTAGCTCAGTGGTTAAAGACCCCTATGTTCAATCCTCAGTCCCCCTCCAAAAAATGTATATTTAGGAGATGGGCCTGTAATTTCAGCTACTTGGGAGACTGAGCTGGGAGGAACACAAGTTCAAGTCCAGCCTGGGTAACATAGCATGTGAGACCCCATCTCAAAACACAATAGTAAACTTAGGAATAAATTTAACAATAACAATAAAAAAAATAAATAAAATCCTTTCCACTGAAAATGCAACATATTACTAAGAAAAAATTTAAAACCTTCAGTAAATTGGTAGGTATACCATATACATCCATTGTAAGACAAATTATTACAGTTCTCTTCCAGATGATCAATCAGTTCAAGGTAGTCCTGATCAAAGGATTAAAAAAAAACAAAAACCAGAAACTGACATGTTAATTTTAAATATAGATTTGTATGCAAAGGATCTAGAGTAGTTGAGTGCAGTGGCACTTGCCTATAATCCCAGTGACTGAGAAAGTTGAGACAGAGGATTATAAGTTCGAGACCAGCCTGGACAACTTAGTAAGACCCTGTCTCATAATAATAAAAAAAAGTCTGAGGATGTAGCTCAATGGTAAAGCACCCTTTGGTTCAATCCCCAGTATGAAACACGCTCACACAGGACTATAGTAGCAGTAATGAAAATGTTATATTGGCCTAACAGTAGATAAATAGTCAATAGGACAGAATAGAATATAAGTCTTTAAATAATCCACACTTATAGAGTTAATTGCTTTTTGTTTTCCTTTAGTAGTACTGTGGATTGAACCCAAAGACTCATGCATGCTAGCCATGCACTCTACCACTGGGGTATATCACCAGCCCAGAGTTAATTGATATTTGA